CACTCCGGGGTGCTGTTGTGGTATTTCATATTCACCCGGGGTACTGGTGGTATTTCATATTCACTCCGGGTGGCTGTGTGGTATTTTCATATTCACTCGGGGTGCTGTTGTGGTATTTCATATTCACTCCGGGGTGCTGTTGTGGTATTCATATTCACTCCGGGGTGCTGTTGTGGTATTTCATATTCACTCCGGGGTGCTGTTGTGGTATTTCATATTCACTCCGGGGTGCTGTTGTGGATTTATATTCACTCCGGGGGTGCTGTTGTGGTATTTCATATTCATTCCGGGGTGCTGTTGTGGTATTTCATATTCACTCCGGGGTGCTGTTGTGGTATTTCATATTCACTCCGGGGTGCTGTTGTGGTATTTCATATTCACTCCGGGGTGCTGTTGTGGTATTTCATATTCACTCCGGGGTGCTGTTGTGGTATTTCATATTCACTCCGGGGTGCTGCTTGTGGTATTTCATATTCACTCCGGGGTGCTGCTGTGTTATATTTGGGAACGCCGCCCACTTCGGCGGCGTTATCCAAGGTGATAAAGCCTGCTCATAATCCCTGCATACTGTGTGGCATGACACTTGAGCCTGTGATGGGTGTAAGTTATTGGCTATAGAGGGCTCAGATTGGTGCAGGTCTCATCCTATGAATGCAGATGACTGAATATTCCATCCTGAGTGCCAAGTACATGTGTCCCGTTGCGAGACCACGAGGCACACCTGGTTTGTCTTTGTCGGTTGGCGTAGCGTTAGCACGCCTAACACATCAGTGCATTGTCCATAACAGCGTACGTATCTTTAGTTAGCAGCGAAGTATTTGGTCATGCGGACTTTCCCGAGGCGATTTTAAGCTATGCTCTTCTGCTAAGGGGCGGCTGTCAAACAGTCAAGACTTTTTTCAAATAAGCTTTTTCAAATGTCTTACAGGGATGAAGACCTTAGGAGCAGAACCTCTGCACAGCAAAGTGCATTGCAGAAATCCTGACGGTGCCATCCCGCCACAAAATCCCCGTTCAAAGAGCAATTTTGGCGATATATTTCAGCCCACCATGTAACGCCGGTACGCAGCAACCTATCTCGGCTACATCCCACTTAACCGCCCACACCTCCACGACAACTTTCTCGTAATCATGCTCACTGGTGTAGCCGAGGGAAGATAGCAGTGTCATGGACCGCCCCTGGAGGGCGGTGGGGCCTCTTGGGGACGACAGTCTCAGATCCTTTTACAGTAGAAGGCTTCTTGACATTTCCAAACGCCCGGAAGGCTTCTAACGCAGAAAACGGGCCCCAGAAGTACTGAAAGAGAATGTCGGGCTAGAAAGGGTTTCGAATGCACACCTCAGACGTGGCACCTGCTGTTTGATCTACGTAACTTCGGATAAGCAACGCCCTTGAAACAAATGCTGCTTCAGCAGATGTCGGCGTAGTTTTCGGCACGAATATGATTTGGCACTTTGAACTGACATGTGGCAAACACAAGCTGACGCCGGAGGCAAGACAATTCCAGCCTAGACACAGTGACATGAAATAAAACGGCGTGACGAGCAAAACAATTTACGCGTCGCAACGACCAGAGATGCAACCAGGATTTCAAGCCCAGCGGCCCGCTTCGTCGCGAAAGGAGACAGGTAGACGGTGGCATTCTACATATCTTTAATTGTAAGCTGTCCTTCTGTTGCATATCACCTGGCATCTAGCCGTCTTTCTGCCACTAAGCGCACAAGATGCGAAACATGATTCGCCTATATTACCTTTCTGATTTAAGCTTACAGTCAAGGGCACATGATATGTTGTTATTCGCATGCTTTTGGGAGCTTCATGCTTTAATCAGAGTGGAATAATCTGACAGTGAACTTTGTGCACTATGACAAAGCCATTTTTGCACTTGAGACTGCGTGAAAGTCTGCAAGCCTCGCCTGCCCCGATGAAGCTCTATCACATCTGATATGGAAAGGGCAGTGCGTTCCACATCAGCTATTTCAGTCATCAATATCTTGTAGATATTTCGGCTTGGAGGCTTGGCATTCAGCTATTTTACATACGTTGATTAACCCCTTTCTGAAGTTGCTAACCCAGGAGCCAGATAATCCTCCCACAGATATGCAGCGAACAAGCCAGCCTACTTGTGTTGAAGCTGTCAGCTTTATTTCGCCTGACGACAGAAAATCATTGTAATTGCAACGATTGAGTCCACAGCTTTTCTTTGATGGAATGGCTACTTTGCTTCGCCTGACTTTCATGGCAGGATCTATGTTCAAAATAGCTGTGCTGTTTTAGTGGTCTGTTTTATTAGGTCATGCTCAATAGTGAAACGTCTTTCAAATCATGTTAGTTTTGCTCTAATCCGATGCTCAATGTGGGGAATTGACACATGAATGACATACCACGCGCGTGGCAGCATAACGGGACAATCCTACACTTGTAGTGTCTGGACGATGCCTGGGCTCTGGAGCCCGAGAAGGGCCCTGAAAAAGTACGTTTGAAGTGAAAAGGTATAAGCGATCTTTCTAACTGGGAGAGCAAAAGACGTCATGCGCTGACCTTAACTATCGCTGACCTGACCCCTCGTTGATCTGACCCAACGTTGATCTTTAGCCTTTATGAACAATATGGTACGATTCCAACGTTCAAGAACGCGCGCTTCCATTCGGTGCAGGAACACAGCTACACGGTCACTATAGCGGGGATCTAGGTCACCCTGAGTTCGGTCGAGAACGCTGTTGACTTGTAATGCATTTGAGGCAGCCCGTAACGCCGTCAGGCAAGCGACGGATGCTACTTAATAACATCTCGATGAAATTAACCAGACTTTTTGATCATCTTCAGGACGTTTCTGACCTAACCGTAAGATTCTCACCCATCCGGAGCTGCCAGTGGCTCATCTTACGTCCTCAAAGGTCCTTCGAAAATTAATCTGATCACTTCCGTGGCTCCCCAACCTTCTCCAAGCTCCTCAAAGCTCGCCTCAAACATCCTCCGACCTCCCTTGAAATGAGAGATGTTTTTCGGGGAGAAGTGTGGAGGAAGCTGTGGTAGATATAAGGAGCGAAATTTATTCATATGCTTTTTTGGCTGCATTTGTTGTCACCTAAGAGAGATGAAGTACACCTGTGTAAAATGGCGCGGATAAAGTAATTTTAAGCCATTTTTATAGTTATGTTATGCATATGATGACTGTCTATTACACATATCTACGACCTTTAATGCATCTTTTTCAGTAACCACAAAGTTCGATATGGTTTGCCGCCAGTGCGCCAAAACTACTTCGTTAAGTTGCGCACAGACAGCCTGCCCCTGCCTCTGCCTCTGCCATGCCTCTTCCAAAATCGAGCCCGTGGCGGCAGATTTGGCACATATTCAGAGCTCCTTCTGCCTGTTCCAAACTCATCTCATCTTCTCTGCAGGAGCGACAGAAGCAGACCCTTAGCGCCTCCAGCTATAACGGTTGACGACATACCCCGGGCTGCACCGGTGTTGGGAAGAGTTGACGCGCAACGCCATCTATGAACAGTTTTGTTGGGTTGCCTGATTCTCCGGGAAAGTAACCAAGCGTTAGAGGGAAGCGGGTCAGTCAGGGACCCTAAAACCCATAAGCAATGTCTAGTTGCCACTTGGTTGCATATACTTCATCAGTTATCCAGGGGACAGAGCGCGCAAGTCGTGCTGTTCTTTGGTTTGCAGATGCGAGGAGACGATGCAATGTGAAGTGAACGTCTGTGTGTCTGTACCATCAAACGCAGTAATGTATTATGGTGACTATCTTTCAACAACGGATCAATGATCACCTTCTGTTTGCTTTCCATGAATTTTTGGAGAAAGCAAATTATTACACTGCAAGATGCCTGGTTATGCTCACTGCGGAATTCAGGATTCCAAATCAGTTGCACGAGAGGAAGAAAGCTACCTGTCCGGACTACAGCGCAGTTTTAGACTGAAAGAGCTCGTGAATATAGTTGTTCCTGTCCTTTATGTTACCAGAACGTGAAGCAGCGTCTCCAAAAGGCATACAATAGGATTTGTTATGTTAAATCTAGTGTACAGCATACATGATAACAACATAGTCCTCAAAGGGAATGTCCTCGCGTGCTTTAAGCACCGTGACGACCTGGAGTCTGATCATGCTGGCCATTCAGCTTGAAATACTCAACGAAATCGCCGCACGCAAAGAAAAAAATAGTGAAGAAAATATTTGCAGTGAAACGGATATTCCGGTGGAGGTATTCTTTGGAAATGTAGGGCATTCTCCACAAATCAGTGATGCTTTCATCGACAAAATGATACGGAAATCGTGAACCATATTGCTGCATTGGTTGCCTGAGCTTTGGCGCCTGCCTGTTTCCTTGCACGACCAAAAAGTCGCCTTTTCTCCCTTTCTCCTCATTCCGTCTCTCTCGTTGTAGGCCTCAAGCCCCTTCTGGTAGCTGGAGGTTCTTTGTTGCGACGTAGCCCTGTTGCGACATGCCGCACGCCTTGGCGAGTCATAAGCCACCTGTCTCAGTCTCTGCGTGCTGAAGAAAAGGGATGAAAGTATGGACTCAAGTGTGGATGGACAACGTAAATGACCCGATCTCCACAGGAAGAGCATCAGCAACATGAGCAATGATGCACCCCTGACCGAAGCTGTGTCGTCCATAGTTGTCCAGTACCAACAATCAATGACACGGCTCTCGCAAAAAGTAGGTCACCCCTCGGCAGGCCTCCGCCGAAGCCATACAGTAGCACACTGCGGTTGTTTCTTCACGATGCCGTCTCGCTCGGCCTTACACAATGGTCATCACGAGGTGGGCGTGTTTTTCTATGTGATCTGGATTACTGAAAATGAATGGAACGTAACGGCAAGCACGACATTCGTCTCATTTTGTCGTGGGCATTTTGGCACTGCCATGACTGAGACGATTTTGTTGGTGTTCTTCAAGGCAATACGTTCAACGTGTCTAGGTGCATGACTTTGCGTCCCACCTCAAGCATTTCCAATCGATGCATGCCACCAGACAACGGCTATGTTTCTCTCTGCATTACGCCACGTTTCATTTCGTTGAAACCGAGTCAAACCGTAGGCAACCGATCCATTTCACGAGCGAGCTGGCTCAAACATCACGTGCAGTTGACAACTCTGTCGGACACGGTCACAAGGCCGCATTGACAAAGTTGGCCCCTCCTTTTCGCGAACCGGCACACAGCGTCGCTCATGAGCATCCGGACCCGGCAATCGCCACACAGTGCACACTGGGCCTCTGTACGTCATCACCAGAGGGTAGGTCAGCATCGGCCTCAGCAGAACATCGGATATTTCCGCTGCGCTTTGTCTCACGGCGAATGCCTAAATGCGAGTCTTTAGCAGCACAACGGGGATTTCGAAGAGACCACGGCATCACTCATCACGTCGTCAAATAGTGAACAGGACCGACGGCGATCTTACGGTGCATATATATGTGTCAGGTCATCCACAGGGTGACTTTTCGGTACATTCCGTCATGCTACCAACCACTCGATGTCACAGCCATGCTCGCAGCGCGCTGAGTGAGAGGTAGGAGTACTGAGAGGATCGAGCACACGATAGCTACAACAGAAGAAGGCCTTCGCGTAATTCATACAGAACACCGACAATTACGAAGAACTGTCAGTCGTAAATTGCTGGGACTTCAACGCGAGGCATTTGTGATGCGCGACCGCGCAACCGTAGCAGATCAGGTATTCCAATTCGATCCGGTTACTTATGCGGTGCATCAGCATGCCCGAACATAACGTCACAATGATTGCACTTAATAGACTTCTCATACTGACTGCCCTGAGGTACCAACGCTTTTGCTCCGAGGAGCGGTCTGCAAGAAAACCCGAAAAGTAGCAAGAGGGGTCATCCCCTGTTGAAGTCAATGATTTGCATGCATCAGCGTAGTGTCTCCCCACCCCGGGGCCGAAGCCGCACCACTTGTCAGAATAGGCGATGCATCCGATATTAAACACAGCTGAATCCTGGGCTTAGAAATGGGATCGTGAAAACTGGCTGGCTTGAATGATTTCCTCAGAGTATGAAAAGCACTAATGAGATGGATGAGACCAGACCATTGGCAATATGACCATTTCAACAGACTGGAACCGTTCGAACACATTGCAGCGTAGCATATACGTCTATTGATTATCCTTTGATCGTCTTGAATCTATTTTCCGCCTTGGGGCTCCCACCTAATCCAAAATCCATTCGAAGATTTCAGTAACCTAAATCACTTGAAAGGCTTTCGGGCAACACGGAGACTGGCCGTCTCAGAACTGGAGGCTTTTTGAGCTCCCCCTGTGGCAAGAAACATGGATGCTTCATCGAAAGAATCATACGACACAATAATCTAACTCACTATGATTTGCGGCTTTATAGGACATAGGCCTCATTCCTGCTAATGATGAGTTTAAACACTCCACTATCCGTGACGATGGACGCTTTCGCATCACCCCTGCGACATAACTGTAAACTTGTAGTTTACCATTGCCTCCCTAGGTGTCCCTAGCAGCTGGCGGCCTTCCAGGCGTGACGTCATGGCCGTACCCCGGCGGCGATGCGTATTTTGACGGCGCGGGTGATTGATCGCCATGGGGTCCGGGTCGGAACGCTAATTTGGCCCAGCATCAGGCACTGGTGCACAAGGTCGTCTGAGATGCACTCCGAGCCTGCGTCCACGACGAAAAATCTGTGAACAGAGATCGGCCCACCGCGCGGCCGGCATCAGCTGAGAGCAGACGCCATTATGATCGATAGGCAGCAAAATGGCGATAGGAGCCGACGGCCGTAGCCGCCACCCCCGCCGGAACACTGCAGATAAGAGTGCCAAATCAGTGGCCCATGTCCATCAAACCGACCACTTTCACTGGCCACGTACCTAGGGATGACGAGCTGCACAGCCAACACGGTTCCCGACATAATTACTCGTCTTAATAAACCGTAATGAATCCGGCTTCTGTTCTGTGGAAATAATTGAAGATTATCAGCCAGCTTATCATGTAGCGTGCAAACATTTAATTATAGAAGCAGGTTTTCGGCGGCAGCGATGCTGTCACAGGCGGTCTTACACGGTGATGGGCGGCGATAAACTCCACACTGGCGTCGCTACCGCGGACGCGCAACACCTCTGCACTGTCGCGCAATTTGTGGCGCACCGGCCTGCGCGCGGACGGCCGCAACCGCTCGCGCCGGGCGCCGCACGCCTGCACCACACCCAGGTCACCAGTCGCAGCCGCGCCACCGTGCTGCCCGTCGCGCTGGTCGCCGTCGAAGTGCGGGGCCGTGTTTGCCGACTGCGGGCCGGCGGCCGGCTGGCCGGCGCGGCGGCGGCGGCCCGGCCGGGGCCGACTTTGCCGAGTCGGCGTTTACGGCCGCGCCCGGGCCGTAAACCCCGAGCGCGCAGCGTGCGTGCAACTGCACGCCATTTGCACGTCGTGCAGGAGTCGTGGGCGGTGTGCACGTGTTCGCGGGACGTCGGACAGGCCAGGTGTCAATTTTCCGGCGATGCGCTGCGTCCCCGGTGAGATTTATTGGGTTTGGTCTAATGACCCCTTGAGTGCGGCACCAGCGCCGATTTATGGCACACCCAGGGGTGATAAATTTGCCATTATTGCAGCGGCGTCGCGGCGGCGGCCGCTGCAGCACGCCGCAGTCGGAGGCGCTCCAGGGTAAGGAGAGGTGGCGGTGGCCGGCGCCGCGCCGCGGACGCGAGCGAGTGTTTGGAGTGGCTTGTCGAGCGGGTGCTGTGTTTGGTGACCGGCCCGGCTCAAACAGTCTCGAGTGGCCATGAGAGCGGCGGAGATCCGACGGCGGCGGGCGTTACGGTGTGCACTGCGTCACCTGGCAAACACGGCGCCCGGCTAGGCTGGTGATACGGCTGGTGATCCGGCTGGTGGTCCGGCTGGTGATCCACCGGTGATCTGAGCGGGTGCTCCACGCCGGTGATCCGTCGGGTGTTTCGACGCGGCCACGCCGCCGCCAGCTTCCCGTGAGCGCCCAGCGCCGCAGCTCTGCAACATCCCGCAACAGCCAGCGACGCGGCGGCGGCGACGCGTGGTGCCGGCGCCCCGCGGCGGCGGCCGCATTCCGGCGTCATTTTGCGCGGCGGCGGCGGAGCCGGCGGGCGGCGCGGCGACCTTTTTGCGGCGTGCTCTTTGTGCGGTTGGCGCGGTGCGGCGCGGCGCGGCCTGGCCCGGCCCCACCGCCAGATGGGAGCCAGCCGGCCGCGGCCGCGATCGCGGCACGAGGTCAGTGAGCCCGCAGCGCCGCCGGCGCCGCCGCGTTTTTGTAATAACGCGCCCGGCTGCGGGCGGCCGGCCTGCTGTCCGTCAAACGCCCCTCCTCCGGGCGCCGGCGCCATCTTGGATCGTGCCGCCCGCTCGCACGCAAACACAGCCGCCGCGCCCGGCGGCGCCACTCGAAGCACAGCGTCGTGCACGACGCGGCGCGCGGCCCGGTGCACTGTGCACGGTTGCAGCGCGTGCGGCCTTCCGCCAGCGCGGCGCGCGACTGGCGCCGCCGCCGTCCCGGCCGAGAATTTTTAGTGGCGTCATTAGGAGGCGGCGGCGCCGGGCCGGGCTGAGTAATGGCCGCCCGGCGCCGCGGCAGCCTACCGATCATAGTACCCTCTGCGGCCGGCGCGGCGGCCGCCGATCATAAAACCCTCCGCCGCTTTGTCGCCGAAATCACTCGGCAAAAGTGGGCCCATAAATCACGCGCCGATCGGGGTCCAGCCGGCGCCGACCGCCGGCTGACCGATGGCCCGGCTCGGCCTGGTGACCGGGCTCCGTCGAGCGCCGGTCTCGTCGTGGTGATTATCCCCCCCCCCGTCCGCGAGACCCCCCCCCCCCCCGCCGCTGCCGTCGCTCGCCATCGCTCGCCCCGCGGCGCTGCAATGAAGTCGAGGTGTCTCGGTGTGCTGTCGCCGAGCTGTGGGCGGAATGGATGGCGGCCTGGCGCCTCGGTGTTGACGGGGGTCCTCGAGATCAGGCCGCCGCCGCCGGCCGCGGTCGTTTGTCTTCATAGCGCGGCGAGCCGCAGCAGATGGATACGGACGATGATGCATGGCCGCTTGAGAATTGACGTGCGTTTTTACAATCACTCGAGAACACCGTGTCACCTTACCGCGCTGTTTGCGAACGCTCCTCGCTGAAATCGGTGCAAATAGAGCGGCAGGCTTTGAGGTCGCGGGCCCGGACATGGTCCGACAGGGCGGTACGGGCCCCAAATAACGCTGAACGCGGAGCTCTGCGCGGCCCTCGGGACGGACCTCAGCTGCTCCTGTTTACGAACTGGCCTTAGTCGAGTCGCTGACGCGGTATGGCTCACCACTCATCAGTCCGTCAAACGCGGCGGAACTTAATGGTGCTGGAAGAAACGTTCCTGAAGCGATCCCCTCAACACAAGGACACGAGAAACAAGACCTTCACCTCTGGAGGCAGCTTGGGCGGCTTCTCCGACAGAGTTCACCTTCGGGTGACGTCAAGGGACCGGCAGCGCCCGTCGGCGGCCCTGGCCTCTCCCGGCCGGCCCATCGACCGGGCCGGCGCGCATTGATGAAGACATTGTGCCGGATTCTCCCGGCGGCGTGCAGACGGCCAGGCGGCGGCGTCGCCACAAAGGGCCTCCGTCGACCGACGCCCATCCATCAGGGCCGCCCGGGCCTGTCGGGGAGCGGCCGGCCGCCGGCTGCGCCGAATCAATGCCGCCGCCGCCGGCGCCGACTCCGCCCGCACAAAGCGGGCAGAGGCGCGCGTCGCCGGGGAGCGCCGACACCGGCGGAAATGGGAGAAGGAGCCGACTCGACGCGGGTACGGGGAGGGATAGGTGGGCGCAAACGGAGATGACCGATCGAGGGATAGGTGAGCACTAGCGATTGAGGGATGATATGCGCTAGCGGGGAGGACTGATCGAGGAATAGGTGGCCGCTAGCGGAGGAGGACTGATCGATGGATAGGTGTGCACTAGCGGGGAGAGCTGATCGAGGAATAGGTGGCCGCTAGCGGAGGAGGACTGATCGATGGATAGGTTGCACTAGCGGGGAGAGCTGATCGAGGAATAGGTGGCCGCTAGCGGAGGAGACTCGATGATAGGTGTGCACTAGCGGGGAGAGCTGATCGAGGAATAGGTGGCCCTAGCGCTAGGAGGACCGATCGAGGGACAGGTGGGGCTCACAGGGGAGGACCAATCGAGAGACCGCGGCAGAAGTGCCGCCTGACATCTCGAACCACGTAAACCTCGCACCCGACAGTCGGCCGTCTCCCTGACGTGCGCGTCACCTCAGCAGCCGTGACGCGCTCGGACAGCTGAGAGCCCCCTAGACGGAAGCTGGCGCCGTCAACCCTTGACGAGCCGACCGCTCGGGCAGCGGCGCCCGGTCAGCCGTGATCAGCCGCGGGGGACGCACCTGCATCCGGCGGCTCCCGACGGCCGGGCGACGCGGTCCGGCGGGATCTATCGGCGCCGGCTCGCTGCCACATGGCGGCAGGGGGGGGGGGACGCTCCCCTCTGGCGCCGATCATCAATCACCCCCTCCCCGACGGGCCCCTGTTTTTGTGCCGCCGCGCGCGTACCGCGCGCCCCGTGCATAGATAGGACGGCCGCCCGCCGGTGGGGGGGGGGGGGGGGGGGGGGGGGGGAGGGTGCGGCGGGAATTGACTCCAGTCCGATCGCGCCGGCCGATGACCTTACAATTCATTAGTGCTGAACTAACCCACTGGGCGCTCCCTGTTCCAGCACACCCGGCGCTGTGCATCGGCTCAAGGCTTCATCTCGTACCCTCACTGACCCAACGTCGTTCAGACACTTTGAAGGTCAGATACCATCAAGCTCTCAATGTTAAAAGGACGCTGTGCGAAAGGAGCTCTCACGAAGGGTAAAAGAAGAGATGCCCAAGTCTGCGTTCCCTGAATTTCTCACCCATAAGGACGCTCACAGGGACGGGCGTAGTTGGGTCAGTGTGCCGGCCTCGTGCCACGCGGGCGATAACACTGCTAATGCCGAGTGGGTGGTACCTGTGGTCTTCTCAGCTGGCGTTTTTCGGTACGGAGCAGTCACCCAGCTTACTTAATGTATGCGGTGATGGATGTAGGTCAGAGCAGAAAACGTTCCTGACTTCGTTTCTGAGTGTCTGTGATTTATTAAAAAAACGCAACTTTTGAATGATTCCAGCTGTCTCAAAATGAAGTGTTAAGTGCGAGGTCGATGCGACCATAAACGTCGCACAGTCTCGGTGTTTTCTCCGTTTTCTGCAGCCGACGGTAAGAGTGCGACCGCTTGCTGCAGCCAATGGTAAGAGTGCAACATATCATGGCAGCGTGGCAGCTCAGTGATCTCTGATCGTGATTCAATGTTATGTCTCCCTTCTTGTACGGCATGCATGCTCATACAGAATGTGGTCCCATATAACAGTGAAAGAAATCTCTCGCAAAAAAAAAACGTTTTCGAGGTGCCCCCATGGCGCCCTCTCCTCATTTGTCGTGCACTGGTACCGATGGATCGCACTGTGCACTCGTTTCCTGACACTAATACACGAGCTGAATCATCGCGACTGTTTCTCACTAAAGCTCCAGACCCACCTTGGGCGTCTGCAAGGCCTTGGGACAGCACCGGCGGCGCACCGACAGGGCGCCAGAGCGATACTCTCACAGCAGTGGGTGATGAGCGGCGAACGCGAGCAAACGCAAACAGGCACCATCGCCACTCATTCATTACCTGACTGCTCGTAGCAAACGTAGGCGGACATGCAATGAGTGCCAGATCTAGGTGTTAAATCCCGGCCTCGAAACCATTCTGGTTTTGTTGCGGCTTAATCTGTGCTTGTCACCAAAGCTTTATCTCTCCGCCGTAGAACACTTCGTTCTGCAAAATCGTGCCCGAGCGATGGACATGTTTCTGAAGGGGCTCTGTGGCGATCTTTTTCGCACGTTTCCCTATCGCTCAACAACAGTGGGTGAATCCGTGGTGGTCTACCAGCTTTTGGCACTCCCAAACGGGACCCGCTGACATTTTCCCCGGGGAACAATGTACACTAACACGTAGTGAAAGGTGTCACAGTTGAGGTAAGCGCATCAGCTAAAACAGAGTTTGGCCAGTCAGAACAGGCGATTCACTCTCCAAAGTAGAATGTACATCGGGGCTGC